GACACAGCAGAATGCTGGTGTTGATTGATAAGCTGGCATTGTGCTAAGTAGCTTTTTGTCCTAAATTTTACCGGTGGGCCAAAATAATCAGCTTTTCTGTACTGTCCCTGTTGTAATGCCATTCTTTCTCTGCATTTTTGTTAATGAAGGGAAGCAGTTGGACAGAAAGTAATGTGGTGGTGGGGGCGGGGTGCAATGAGCAGAAGGTGATAGGGAGGTTAACTGAGATATTGTTCTCCCCAAACATGGTTTGGTAGCGCTCTGCAGTGACAGTGGGAGAAAATTTGCCATTTGGTGATTTGCCTATGTAATTTGATCCTTTTTCACTCAATGTCATAGCATCTTTTTTTTTTTTTTCCAGTACAGTAAGGAAAGGAAATTAAGTAGGTTCTGATTTAGGCCTTAGGTGATAATGAATTTATAATAATTTTTTAAATTTTATTTATTTATTTTTGGCTGCGTTGGGTCTTCATTGCTGCACACGGGCTTTCTCTAGTTGCAGCAAGCGGGGTCTATTCTTCGCTGCGGTGCATGGGCTTCTCATTGCAGTGGCTTCTCTTGTTACAGAGCATGGGCTCTAGGTGTGTGGGCTCAGTAGTTGTGGCACGCGGGCTCAATAGTTGTGGCGCGCGGGCTCTAGAGCACAGGCTCAGTAGTTGTGGCGCATGGGCTTAGTTGCTCCGCGGCGTGTGAGATCTTCCCGGACCAGGGCTCGAACCCGTGTCTCCTACATTGGCAGGTGGATTCTTAACCACTGTGCCACCAGGGAAGCCCCTAGGAATTTATAATACTTTTTAAAGGGAATCTATTGTAAAACTTGACTGAATGGAGGGAAATGGGTAATTGAAAGATTCTCTTGGTTGGTTTTAGGTTGATTTAGACCTTGCTGAATAAAAATTGAAAGTATCCATCTTTCTAAGGAGAGGAAGCCTTGTATACCTATCCAGTTTTCTCTCTGTTCTTTTAACTTGTCTGCCTTTACCATGACTGCTTCTCCTTGTAGTCTGTGTGACATCCTGTAGCCTTAAACTTCCAGTAGACAGGAAAGAGTTCATTGCCTGTTTGTGTTAATGAAACAAGGTCATTACTCTGTCCAAAGAACGTTCTTTTTATTTAATCTGAAAATCTTTAGTAAAAATACTAAATAGATTTTCAATATGTTTGTAGCCGAACATACTTCTCACAGGCATTTGATACATTATTTTCTCTATCAGCAGTCCCTAGCTTATTAGATTGTGTATTAGCTATGTTCTCAATGACTTAGAAACATTGTAAACTTTTTACAAGAAATTGAAATAATGTTTTTCTTGTTTTTGTATTTAACATCAAAAGTAATTGTTTCACTATTTTGAAGTTTTATTAGGCATACAAAGGTTTGTGGTAATGATGTTTTCTTGGCAGATTGTATCTTTTATCAATAAAATTGCCCACAGAAGTGCTCCATCTGAGGCATGTGAATGGTATTTTGTCTCATACTGCCTTTTTGTCTGATACTGCCTTCTTCTTTGCAAGTATTTGCATTCTGTAACGTTTTTACATTCTTTTTTACATTCTGTAACTTTTACATTCTTTTTTGACCTGTCATTTTGTTTTAGGTCATGCCTTATAGGTAGCATGTGGTTATTTTTTATTTTAAATAATTTGGGCTTCCCTGGTGGCTCAGTGGTTGAGAATCCGCCTGCCAATGTAGGGGACGTGGGTTCAAGCCCTGGTCCGGGAAGATCCCATATGCCGCGGAGCAACTAAGCCCGCGAGCCACAACTCCTGAGCCCGCGTGCCTAGAGCCCATGCTCTGCAACAAGAGAAGCCACTGCAGTGAGAGACCCACGTACGGCAGCGAAGAGTAGCCCCTGCTCGCCGCAACCAGAGAAAAGCCTGCGTGCAGCAACAAAGACCCAATGCAGCCAAAAATAATAAATAAATAGGTAGGTAGGTAGGTAGATAGTTTATTTATAATGGGGAGATTTAACCTATTCACATTTATTGTTATTATTGACATGTTTAATGATTCCTGCCATATGTACTCCGCTTTTTTGTTTCTTCCTTTACCCTCTCCTTCCTGCTTTTTGTTTTATTAATCATCTCCACTGCTTTGGGGTTTATTTTTAGTGGTAAGGAGGTTGTACACCTCTGTTTCTGTTCTTGTGTTCAACCTTAAATGCTAATTTAGCTAGGTATAAGATTTTAAGTTGAAAATAATATTTCTTCAGGACTTTAAAGTTGTTGCTTCATTGTTTTTAAATACCTAACGTTGGTGACAGTATGACCCCAGTTTGGTTCTTTTTTTCTTTGTAGGTAATCTGGGTTTTTTCCACCTAAAAACTTTAAGGATTTTTACTGTGAAATTTCACCATGATATGTCTAAAAATGTGTGTCTTTGTTTTTCAACTCCAGAAATTTTTCCAATATTTTCTTAAAACACTCCTTTTTATGCCTTTCCTTCTAAAATTCAGATAGATATTGGAACTTCGGTATTTATACTCCATATCATCTAACTTTTCCTCCAAATTTCTCACCTCCCTGTCCTCTGTTCTTGTTGCATTCTGGCAGATTTCCTTGGCTCTGCCTTCTTCTTGTTAATTTGCTCCTCTGTTATGCCCATTCTAATATACAATCCATCCATTGAGTTTATTGTAATAATCCTTTTTAATTTTCAAGATGTCTAATTGGTGCTCTTTAGAAGCAGCCTTTTTAAAAATGTCTGTGATAACCTCTCATTCCTCTCATGTTAAATTTTCTGTTTGCTTTGTTTATCCCGCTTTCTCAAATACTAGTTTTTTATTTGAATCAGGTGCCTCTCTTTTATGATATTAATTTTCCTTTATGTTAGCAATTCTTGACAGTATGGTCTCTTGGAAGATAGGCAAAGTATGCTTGTCACTTGTCTCTTGGGTGGAGGGATCCTCACTCCTTCTGAATGATACAGCCCTACTCCAGTCTGACTTCTCTTTCTCTTAGTGGAGTGGGAGGACTGATGAGGTTGCTTCAAGTGCAGTTTTCCAGCAACTAGAATCCACAACTACATAAGAGAGTCCTAGTTGTCTTCTAGTATGAATGTTTTGTGCTGAGGATTTTTACTGTCAAAGTTTTTGGAAGGTGATTAGGCTATTTACAAGTGGAAGATTTCATATTTATCTGTTACTCTGTGTTGTAGTTGGCTCCTTTCATCCTCCCACATCTTATTTTAAAATTAGCATGTTTCTTCTTGACACTAGCTAGCTTAAACTAGCTGTTTTATATTCTGAACTTAAAGTTTCCTACACATCCTTCTTTGCACACTATAAAAAAAACAAGAAAAACAAAAAATTATAGCTACATTCAGACTAAAGGAGAAGGGAAACAAAAGGTAAATGGGGGGGAAGGTAGCAAAGAAGAATGAAGCAAGAGGAAGGGAGAAAAAAGCAGATACAGAAGGTTGCTATCCCATCGTCTCTTTGTGACTGACATGCCCTGGGCCCCAAGCAACATAGCCTTCCCTGTAAGTTAGTTGTGGAGGTAACTACTTCTGCTTTTGCTTTGTCAATGCTTACCTGTTGGAGATAACACGAGTTCTTTCGTAATCACATATTTGTTAAAATTGATGTTGACAAACAATAAAGTTTGGGGTGAAGATGTGCCATGAAGCTCTTGGACCTAGTAGCTGGAACCTAGATAACTGGATTTGTCTACAAAGATGTTTCCCAAACGTTGACTGAAGCTTTTGCAACTGTCCTCAGTGGGTATTAACTACCAAATCATGAAGTATGTGAGATGGCTCCTCTAGGAAGCAGATTCTGAGACAAAGATAGGAGTCCCCCAAATGTATGTGATTAGCAAACAATAGATTTGGGATAACAATTGTAATGAAGATGGCAAAGTGTTTCTAGTATCTCTTCTACACTGTTGACAAACAGCCTAATAGAAAAACAGCAATACGTGTGAATAAGTGGTTTTCAGAATGAAAAAAGTCCAGTGGCCAATAAACAAACATGAACAGATTTTCAAATTCACTGATAGTGAGGAAAATGTGAATTACAATAATATGTGAACTAGAATTATGTTACACTGGGGTTTTTCAGCCTAGGCACTGTTGACATTTTGGATCAAGGTGGTGGTGTGCAGGTGTTGCCCTGTGCATTGTAGAATGTTAACAGCATTCCTGGTTTCTACCTACTAGATACCAGTCGTGCCGCCTTCTGACCCCTAGCTGTGATAATCAGAATGTCTCTAGACATTGTGAAAGGTACCCTAGAGGGAAAATCATCCCTGATTGAGAACCACTGTTTTATACTCATTAGACTGGCAAAAATTAAACACAGCTATCATATCTCTTGCTGGCAGGAATGGCAGAAAAGTGGTACTTTCAAGCACTACAGCCTTTTCTTGGGAGAAGTCTGAGTGTTTTTCAAGTTAAAAATATATAAACCTTTTGGCTAAGCAATCCTGTTACTAAGACTCTATCCCATGACGATATTTATATGAGTGACTTGCATTGTGAACAGCCATTCTGCCCTCCCATGTTTTCTTCAGTGTTGTCATTTAATCACTGTGATCCAAATCTATTACTGAGTATTGATAACTTTTTCATGATTGTTTCCTCATATTTCAGAACTCTCTTGATAGAGCCCAAGCAGCCAAGAACAAAGGCAACAAATATTTTAAAGCAGGAAAATATGAACAGGCTATTCAGTGCTATACCGAGGCCATCAGTTTGTGTCCTACAGAGAAGAATGTTGACCTTTCCACGTTTTATCAAAACAGAGCTGCTGCCTTTGAGCAGTTGGTACGTATCCTAGGTTGGTTTTTCTGTTCGTTTTGTTTCTCTTTATTTGCATAATAATGTTTCAGTTAATGCCACTCAAATCTAATAAACTTTTAGAAGTTGTTTTGAAATTACAGGATTTTTGTTTGGTTTTTATATCCTTTAATTACATAGATTTTTAAGAACAAATTTTAGCTCTTCGTGAGAGGCTGCGCACCGTACCACTGCCTCGAGGCGCGGGGTCTCGTGGGCCCCGCTCCCGCCCTCCGCTCGCCTGGCCTGGGCCTGGCGCGGGGGGCGGGCACCGGGGCCCGGTCGGACATGGGCAAGAAGCACAAGAAGCACAAGTCAGACAAACAGCTCTACGAGGAGTATGTAGAGAAGCCCTTGAAGCTGGTCCTCAAAGTGGGAGGGAACGAAGTCACCGAGCTCTCCACGGGCAGCTCCGGGCATGACTCCAGCCTCTTAGAAGACAAAAACGATCATTACAAACACAAGGACCGAAAGCGGAAAAAGAGAAAGAAAGGAGAGAAGCAGGTTCCAGGGGAGGAAAAGGGGAGAAAATGGCGACGAATAAAGGAAGATAAAAAGAAGCGAGATCGGGACAGCATGGACAATGAGGCAGAAAAAGACCTCCAGCGTCTGACCCCTGTAGGATTAGACTTGCCTCCTGAGAAGCCTCTTGCAAGCTCTTTAGCCAAACAAGAAGAAGTAGAACAGACACCCCTTCAAGAAGCTTTGAATCAACTGATGAGACAACTGCAGAGGAAAGACCCAAGTGCTTTCTTTTCATTTCCTGTGACTGATTTTATTGCTTCCAGCTACTCCATGATCATTAAACACCCAATGGATTTTAGTACCATGAAAGAAAAGATCAAGAACAATGATTACCAGTCCATAGAAGAACTAAAGGATAACTTCAAACTAATGTGTACTAATGCTATGATTTACAACAAACCAGAGACCATTTATTATAAAGCTGCAAAGAAGCTATTGCACTCAGGGATGAAAATTCTTAGCCAGGAGAGAATTCAGAGCCTGAAGCAGAGCATAGACTTCATGGCAGACTTGCAAAAAAGTTGAAAGCAGAAAGATAGACACCTTGCAGAGTGGGGAGGACAGCGGCTGCTGGCCAAGAGAGAGGGAAGACTCTGGAGACACTGAGGCACAAGGCTTCAAGAGTCCCAATAAGGAAAATAAAAAGTAAAGAATCTTTGGAATATTAAGGTTAAGCTGTCTTTTTCACACCAGTATCGGGAGAAAATACTGATTGGGGGCCTGCCTTGGGTCCATGGTTGGTTGGGTTTTGTCCTGAAAGTCCATTTTGATGATTTGATACCCCTCTTCTCATGCAAAGCATTATATGGAATTGTCCAAACACAGTTCAGAAAATAGTTCTGAATGTCTATTCTGTATGAAAGTAGTTTTAAAACCAGTAAATTACCTTTAGGGACTCATAAAAAAATAAATAAATAAAAGAACAAATTTTAGTTTTGCTCATCACACACACAATCCAAAGTTGTATATATCAGATTTTATGAAATTAGATAATACAGAAAGTTAAAGTTTCTGGTGACCCCATCCTCCTCAACAGTTTGAGTTTATTTCTTCAACTTTTGTCCGCATATATGTAATAGTAGCATATGTGGGGGGAAAAAGACCAAAAGATGAATTCCTGTTACATTGTTTGCATATTTTTTCAGTTGCCACTGTATCTTGTACAGCTTCTCATAGCACACACAGATCTATTTCATTCTTTTTAAAGGCTATATGTAGTAGCTGTTACATGGTTGTAACATCTCCCTGTTGATGAACATTTGAATCACTTCCTATTTTCCCTATTGCATTCAGTGTTGCAGTAAATATTTTTTTGCATACTTTTGGGGGAATAAAATTCTAGAAATGGAAATAAGATAGTATCAATACCTATTATAGTAATATATGAACATGTTTGTTTTCCAGTATCTCACTGACTATGTGTATTATCAGTCTTAATAATATTTGCCACTCTGGTAGGAGAAAAATTCTCTCTCATTGTTTTAGTTTGCAATTTTTGAGATGTTGGTGAAGTGGACAATCTTTTTCTATGTTTATTCGGTATTTATATTCTCTGTATTTTTTGTTCAACGAAATTTTATTGACTGTTTTGTATATGAAAGGTGTAGTAGGAGCTGGGTCTATAAAAGCAAACAATTATGCATAGAACTCAAGGATCGCAAAACAACTTAAATGACATTTTGATAAATGCTTTGATTCTATAATAGACGAATGAGTGGGGTTGGTGCGTAAAACAGTGCAGAATAGAGTGTTACAAATGGAGGAACAGTGTATGTAATTGCTCTGAGGTAGGCAGGAGTTTGCCATGATTAAAGAAGTATGTATAAAGGATCCTGGGGTATAGAGAGATGAAACTGGAAAGGTAGCAGAGGCCAGATCAGGCAAAGCCTTGCAATGGTAAGAAGGTTGGATTTGATTCTGAGTGTAACGGGAAATATTTAAGGGTTTTAAATAGGGCAGGAACATCGTCTAAAATTGTTCTCACTGTTCTGTCAAGAATATATTGGAGGGAGGCAAGAATGGAGGCAGGGAGACTAAGGAAGGATGTTGTTGTACTTGCCTAAGTGGGACATGAAGGAAAGCTGAAGACCAACAGAATTTGCTGTTGTATTGGATGTGAAGCGTGAGAAGCAGGAGTTTTAATAATGGTGGATTGAGGAAGGAGTGAGTCAGCTGACAGTTGAATTGAGAAATGTCTCTATTTTAGGAATGTGGTTTGGGTTAAAGAGATAAAGTTTGGAGTCATCTAATTTTAGATGTTATATACTACGAGGACAATAGATGTGATCACCTAAGAGAGAGAAGGGATGAGTCCTTGAGCATTCCAGCATGTAAAAATCAGATAGAGGGGGAGAAGTCAGCTACAGAAATTGCGAAGGAGCAGCCGGTGAGGTAAATGGAAATCAAGTAGAGTGGCGACTCCTTGGAGGTTTGGCAATAAACAGGAGCTAAGAAATGGGGTAATAACTGCAGGGAATTACAGAATCAAAGGAGTGTTTTTAAAAGGTGGAAAATACTAAAGCAAGTGTTTTTATGCTAATAGGAATGATTCAGTAGAGAAGCAGATTGGTGCAGAGGCAGGATAGCTAACAGTGAAGTCCTTGAAGTGGAGAGAATGTGGATCCATACCACAAGTGGAAAGTTGGCCTTTGGTGAAGAGGGGTGTTTCCTCAGTTTTAACAGGAGGGAAGGAGGAGATGATATCACATAGATGCAGGTAGGTTGTAGATTTGGTGGTAGAAAGATGGCTTAAATATGTCTTTTACCTATTTTTAAAAATTAGGTTGCTAATCTTTATTACAGTTATTTATATGAGCTGTTATAATGTATTGTGGATATTAACTCTTTGTATGAATTGGGAATATTTTTTCTGTTGTGGGATTCTTAATACTTGGCCTACTGAGTTTAGAAAACTGATTTCTGTCAAACAGTGCTTCCTTTAGTGTGACTTTTTTTTAATACTTTCATTACAGCAAAAATGGAAAGAGGTGGCACAAGATTGTACAAAGGCTGTTGAACTTAATCCCAAATATGTGAAAGCTCTCTTTAGACGTGCAAAAGCCCACGAGAAGCTAGACAATAAGAAGGAATGTTTAGAAGGTGAGGGTATTTTTGTGTTTATGTATGAAAATTACTAAAGGCTTCATAGTCATTGGTAAATTTATATGAAACTCTGCCTATGAGTAGAGAAATCAATTGTGTTTAAAAGTTTTACTCTTCCCCAATTGAGACTTTGATTTCTAGTTTAAATTGAGATTGCAGATACTTGAGTACTGTCTTGGTTCCCCACTATGGTAAATTAAATGATTTAGAGTTTATATACCACACATTTTAAACTTGGCAATTAATGAGCATCAGTGTAATTTCATGAATAAGAAATCAGAAGAGAGGTTTTAGTGAGCGATAGTGTTTGTAAGATTCTATGTATTTTTCAGTTAATATCCTATATAAATATGAAATAATTTTGAGATGAATCATTAAAGAAAACATTTGTTTTTTGCCCTTGCAATTTTCAGACATTATCTTATACTCAGTTAGAAATTATGTAATTGATACAAAGCAGCAAGTGAATTTGCCGTTCTCAGTAAATATTATAAATATTCTTTGGCCTCTAATTGGCCATATCTGTTGCCAAAACTTCAAATTAGGGTATCCGCCACTGGCCTATAAAGTACAGTCTTCTGGGTGATGTAGAGCTAAACCAAAATGCAATTTCTGCAGTCGAAAAGTACTTTCCACTACATAGATTTGCTTTAAAAGCATCAATAATCAGAAATTTAGCTATAATTTTTTTTAAATAACATTATTTAAAAGGGAAAAGCTGTTTTATTTATTTTTTTTTTTAAATGAGGATTACCAATTGAGAGTGGTTTAGAGAACATTTTAGAAAAACTTGAGGTTTTGTGGTATCATGTACTTTGATGGTGGGTAGAAGGAGTGTTGCTTTGGAAAAGAGACTTCTGAGTTTTGAACCAAACTTTGAAGTTATTAAGCGATAATTGTAGAGAGGAGTTTAAATGGATTTTAGATGGAGAAATGGGATGGGGAATTGACATTGGCACTAGCCAGATTATCAGGGGAACATACAGCAGATTGACTTGTTTGGAGGAGCAAGGATTTGGAATTGTGAGAAATTGAGTTCAAAAAAAGAGAGACAGCCATTGTTCACTACTTTGAATGAAAAGTTGAGAGGTTAAGGAAACATTGATCTTCTAAATTTCAGACCACTGTGTGTTGAGCTCTAGCATAGCCAGGTTAAAATGGTATTTTGAAGCAGATTTAATTGAGAGCTCTGTGGCAAGATGGCTTTGGAGACGAGGAGTAACCCTGAGGCCTATAAAAAGACCAGACATAAGAGAGCCACATTATGTTGATTTGGTATATACTTAACCGGCCAGAAAAGAATATTCCTGGATTACTTGTTTTATTTGCTGTGTACAATGTTGGAGTGATGAGAAACATCACAAATGGTGTAGTATAGTCCCTTTCATTTCACAGGTGAGGAAAGTGAATTCTAGAGAAGTAGAGTGACTTTCTGAGCTTTGAGTTTGGTCGTAAAGTATGTAAAACTAAAGTGTTAAGAATCAGTTTATTGGAAATGATAGCCACATAAAGCTATGCATGTAGTTTGGCTTTCTGTGGTAACATTGAATCCATTTGATGCTGCTAATCATGTTTGTGATAATTTCATACTTACTCTTGTTTTCTGCATCATTTCTAGATGTTACTGCTGTGTGTATATTAGAAGGGTTCCAAAATCAGCAAAGCATGCTGTTAGCTGATAAAGTTCTTAAACTTCTTGGAAAAGAGAAAGCCAAAGAAAAATATAAGGTAAGTTAATCTGAATTGGTTAATAGAGGGAGTATACATTGTGAAGGGTCATTTCTAATTTATACTGCTTAAACTTGGGCATGATGGTTACAACTGAAATTAGATCCGGATTATATTTCTTTTTCCTGTAATCTTGGGCTTTTGTGGTTTACTTTTTTAAAATAAGAATGTAAACTATGTCCAGTATTGCACCTGGAGGATATTGAAAGAATTCATGTATATTAGAAGTTGCCAAACAATGGCCTACAGGCCAAATCCAGCCTGCCACCTGTTTTTATAAATAATGTGCCAATAGTGTTTTATTGGAACTCAGCCACTCACACATTGTTTTAGATGCTTTTAAGCTACAACGGCAGAGTTGAGTGGTTGTGACAGAGACTGTATGGCACATAAAGCCTAAAATGTTTACTATCTGGCCTTTTACAGAAAAAAATTGCCAACTTGTACTCTTTAAAGTTTTTAAAGATATGCTGTATAAATTGGCATTGGTTTTACACAGTTAGTAGATGGTTTAATTCAAGAAATATTTATTGAACAGAGGTCCATAATAGGCATTTTAGGAGGGTAGGTACAAAGACATGGTCCTTGCCCTTACAAAGTCCTTAATGAGAGGGACCATTAATAAGTATAAAAGGCATGATATTGGTAAAGTGTCATGGAGGGATATAAGTAGAGGGCTGTGGGAGTACCACAGGTACTACTAAACATCGGTAGAGGTTTTCTGCTAAATTTCATAATATCGAGGCAGTTGTTTCTTTTTTCTTTAATAATAACTTGCTTTTCTCTTAAGTTGATTTAATAATCTGTCT